AAACTTATTTCATCAATAGTTTCATCTTTTATTTTTGTTTAGCAAAATTAATAAGTTTTCTTTAATTATGTATCACTAAAATAATGAGTAAATATTCCTAATTTATTTTAAAAATTAAAAAAAAATAATTAATCTATTTTGTTAAATATTATTTTATAATTTATTTGCGAACTATCTATCGGCAATTCGAATTTGTTGAATTTTAATGTACCATCAAAGCAAATTAATATAAGTTATTTGATATTGATATCATTTAAAGCTATTTCAAATGTTTTTTTTTTAAAATGACGTTGTGAAAATAGAACAAAAATAAGGAAATAGAGAGTAAATCAGTTGGCCATAGTAGACAATAAAGTAAATAGTATTGTTAATGTGTATTCAACAATTCAGCCGATTTTGTCATCTTATGGTTTTTCTTCCACATTCTTTTATGTTAAATAGTGTTTAAGCAGGTCGTCCCTCAGATAAATGAAGCCATAAGTGAAACAAAAAATGGGGGTCCCTACTTCGTATGTTAAAACCATAATCAAACGTATCCGATTTTATACATAAACAAAAGAGTAGTTGTATACACATAAATTTTTTTTAAATTGGGGGCCTAAATCTAATGTTTTATCCCTTTTGGTTCAAGAACGGTCCTGTGTTTAAGGTCTAAATGGTGATATGAATTATGCAGAATGATAAAAAATTATAGAATATAATTAGATAAATACACCTTTTGCATTTGTAGAAGAAAAATTTCAAAAAATGTCATTTTTCAAGTGCTATTTTTCAAGTGCCACTTTTCAAGTGTCACTTTACAAAAATACCATACTTTTGACATCTTTACAAAAATACCACTTTTTCAAAATTATTTTTTCTTTACATTATTTATATTTGGGTTAACTATGTTCTATTATGGTTTAGTTATGAAAATTTAGGGGTTTAGAGATCAAAATATTTTTTGTGTTTAGAATTTTAGATATATGGTTTAAAGATCTATAATTAGTGGTATTTTTGTAAATATGTCAAAAGTGTGGCATTTTTACAAATATGCACATGAAAAGTCGCATATTTATAATTTTCCTTTTGTAGAATAGAATTGGTAGAGTGGTAGAATTGCATAATAATGTACATGTGGGATAAAGTAAAATATTCTCATCTTCGTAATGCTTTTATATTTATAATATTTTGTTTTAATAATTGACGTAATTTATGTTATAAATAATGTTAATAATTATTATTGTAAGTTCTTGTGACAATGGAAAATTTCAAAAAATACCACTTTTCAAGTACCACTTACAAAATGCCACTTTTTAAATGCCACTTTTTCAAAATTATTTTTTCTTTATATTATTTATGTTTGAGTTAATTATATTCTATTAGAATTTAGTTATGAGGGTTTAGGGGGTCAAAACATTTTTTAGTGTTTAGAATTTTAAGATATATGGTTTAAAAACCTATAATTAGTAGTATTTTTGCAAATGAACACCTCTAAGTGACATTTTTGCAAATGTGCACATAAAAAATGATATTTTTGCAATTTCTCCTTTTTTTTGTAAGAAAATATAAATCTTCAAGAAATTTATAATAAAATAATAAATTTAAAATAAACTAAAAGTGATAAATCTACAATAAATTAAACAATTATATTGTTCTTTATATAATATCAATAAATCGATTTGTTTTAATTATATCAATTAATTTATTTGATTAAATTTTAGTTATTCCGTTACTCAAATAAATTAATGTCAATAAATTTGTATTCGATTTATATTAAAAAATAGCTTACATTCGATGTAAGTGTTATGCAAATTAAATTTTGTAAAACAAAATATAATTATCTAGGGGCAATTACAAAAATGCCACTTTTTGTGTGCACATTTGCAAGAATGCCACTTAGGGGATCCATTTACAAAAATATCACTAATTATAGATTTATGGGACAATTACAAAAATACCACTTTTTGTGTGCACATTTGCAAGAATGCCATTTAGGGATGTCTATTTGCAA